CGAAAACCTTGATGGTGGGAAGGAGAAGAAGCAGCCCTGGGGGAGGTAAGAAATAGCAGAAATAGGAAGGGATAAAGACCAGTGAATGAGAAGGCGGGGGGACGGAACTAGTTTTGTTTTGTCAAGGACACATGAATGAGTGGTATGTATTTTGGAAAATGTTAATTTGCTTAGTGGTATAAGATCAATTTTCCCTTAACTTAAATGCAGCACTAATAGTGAATTTCAATGAGGTTTGCAATCTGCTTCTTAACTTGTATACGCCAATGAAAATAATGTAAGCTCTGTGGGGGATGCAAGTACAGGAAGCATCCAAATTGGCAACATTTCTTTGCAGCGATTATTTTTTACTAAAATAGTAGGGTCTTTCTAATGTGCGTATGTATATTTTTGGGTTATATTTTTCTGTATGAAGATAAAAACAAAATAAAAATCCAGAAAAGGAAAACTAAGGTTACAACAACAAGCAACTGAGTTAGCGACAGGCTCAACCCAGTGCCAAGGAGCTATATTTCTTCCTCTTAGCTCGATGAAGAAGCCACTGCAATTCCTCTTAGATTTTTTTTTTCTCCTGCATCTGTAGAGATGGGCTTGATGCCCTTGAAGACGTTGATCATTCCCGGTATTCCATATTTCCCAAGCAACTATACTTGGTTGTGATTGTTCTGATGAGCCTTTGCTATTTACTTTACATAAATTTTACCTTTCCTAGTTCTGCCAAGGAACTGAACTCTGGAATATTATGCAGTTACTCTTGGCCATAAGATCTCAAGGTGGTGAACAGGCTCTCATCCAGACTCTGAACCGTGCACGTGACCTCTACAGGCAGAGATCGCAGCCTGCTCCCAACATTGATGAGCTCGCTTCTTTGCTCGCACAGTGTGCTATAGCAGAGGCTCAGACATCAAACCCTAATCCACTAGCACCTGGTTCTGACCCTGTCACGACGTTGAACTCTGATGAGGCCTGCATACTTGCTGAGTGTGGAAGGAAGCAGATTATCCTGGATGCCTTCAACGATGGCAGCAGCTTCATTTGCTTGAAATGTGGCGGGCTCTTCAGCACGTCACGCAAAGATGAGCACCTGGCCTACTGGTGCGGTGCCGCATGATCCTGGTGATAAATCCTTGCTACTGTATATGGGTGCTCACCCCAGACGGTGATCATGATGCGCATGATATTTTGTAGAACCTGCTCTCTTTTCCGGTTACCGCTTCTCTACTGCAGGGATGCCAGAGATACATCTCCTGTTCACAGAAGCAAATACATAGCCAACCTAGAGCATTATGAACTGGAATCGACGCTTCATTGTGCCTTGCTGTGTTCTTATGGCACTTTTTTGCTGGTGGTTTGGTAAATCCTGATATGATCCTCTGTTATTTGCTCGAGGTTGTCAAAATCCTCATAGTCTGGTGAGGAAAATCTTCTGTCTGTCATTAGACGGCGTATACTCTATGGAAAGTTAGTTAACTGATGTTCTGTCCCTTTTAATTATGATCTGCTGATTCGGACAACCGGGAGTTGGTATCCATGGGCAGATCTATAAGAAGATGGAACTCTGTTGTCACTACCTGCTACCGTGCTTTTCAGTATTGTTTCAGTTTCTGTTTCAGTTTCTTTTTAGCCAATGCATGTGCCTGTTAGATTGTTGCTAGCAGTAAACATATACAAGTTCCTTGTTTGAAATTTTGAATGAGCTCAGGTTACCCAGAAACAGGCTAGGACTTGAACATGTCAGCGTGCGTTTCATGCCAGTGCTTTTGCCGAGGCTTCACTCGAAGGCAACGGAGGGATAGACCGACAGCCACCTCCTAGCTACAAACGTTAGTTCCTGCATGCCACATCTGTGAGACTGTGAGTCGCTTGAATCCCAAGTGGCCAGTCTTCTTTTGCGTCACCCTTGTCAAAGGAGGTTCAGCCTTGTTCAACAATTTTCTCACCAAATATGATAGATGTATCTGCAACCTTCTTTTGTTTGATATCTGAGTCTGATGGCCAGAAAGCTGCCCGTCTTCAAAGTTCCAAGATCGGGAGCCATCTCCTGTAGCTTTTCAAGTAATTACTGATGATCCTCTATCATCAGTTAATGGCACATTGCCGTATACCACACGGAGAAAAGAAGAAACATAAGGTCCTGACATTGCCCAAGAAATTTGGTAGCCTGCCCGGGGTTCATCGCAGCTCAATCTGTGTTCCACACTGAAAGTTTGGGATGGTGGGGATATGAGTGTTCATATTCTGAAGGAGAAAGTTCCAGCGTCCAAATCAAAGGAGTGCCATCCCAACCTACCAGAATTTGAGCCACTCCGAAGCAAACCTGCAGCGAAGTGAATTTTCACCTAGATTGCTTTCTCGCCAAACATGCCAACTACTGCTCAATCGCTTATTTATTTTTTCTCAAAAGAAATAAACTTCGTCTTATTCTACTTTGCTTAAATTAAGCTTAGCTTGGCTTGTCTGCCATCAACATCCCAACTCTCACGCCCTGAAAGGCTGAGATGTCATTCTGGTACGGTGAGCCATTCTCGCCATCCGCACCACCCCTTGTATTAACACCATCGCTGTTCTTCACTCGGAGCACAAGATCACACGCATAAAATGGTGTAGGAAACACAGGGGCACAAGAACTCGAGCACCAGCCACTCCAGCTGCCTGCTCTGCTCATTGGTTTGGTAGGGAGAGATGAAGGCGATGTCCGGGACGAAGCTGCTCCTCGTCCGCCAGCCGTCGAGCAAGTACGGTAACGGGGCGGTGTCGCCGGCGACGGCCACATCCATCTCCTGGCGCCGCTTCTGGCTCGTCGCGTTCCTCGCGCTCTTCACCTGCGCGTCCCTGCTCACGGTCTTCTCCACGGCGCGCGCGCCGTCCGGGGCGGCGTCGCCGGGGGTCACGTTCGTCGCGGCCGGCGTCGGTGCGGGCAGCGTCGGCGGCGCGTCGGCGGGCGGAGGAGCGCTCCCGGCGTACGTGTTCGACGCGCTGGTGCGGTACGCGGCGGCGGCGGGGGCGAACTCGACGGTGAGCATGCCGGAGGAGGACGTGCGCGCGATCGCGTCGGTGCTGCGGCGGCGCGCGCCCTGCAACCTGCTGGTGTTCGGGCTGGGCGCGGAGACGCCGCTGTGGCGCGCGCTGAACCACGGCGGGCGGACGGTGTTCCTGGACGAGAACCCCTTCTACGTGGCGCACATGGAGGGCGCGCACGGCGGGCTGGAGGCGTACGACGTCGCCTACGCCACCGCCGTGCGCGAGCTCCCAGACCTCCTCGACGCCGCGCGCGCGTCCCGGCGCGCCGAGTGCCGCCCCGTCCAGAACCTGCTCTTCTCCGACTGCAGCCTCGCCATCGGCGACCTGCCCAACCAGCTCTACGACGTCGCCTGGGACGTCATCCTCGTCGACGGGCCGCACGGGTACGCCGAGGGGTCGCCGGGCAGGATGGCGGCGATCTACTCGTCGGCGGTGATGGCGCGGACCAAGGGGACGGTGACGGACGTGCTGGTGCACGACTACGAGCGGGAGGTGGAGAGCGTGTGCGCGCGGGAGTTCCTCTGCGACGAGAACCGCGTGGAGGGGACCACCACGCTGTCGCTCGGCCACTACATCGTGCGCGGCGGCGCCGCCGCCAACCGGGAGGCCTTCTGCGGGGCGCAGAAGCCCGCCGGCTCCACTACGAAGAAGGCGAACTAGTCGGTCAGGGAAACGGCTTTCCAGTTTGGTTCCTTGTACTTCGACGATCAGATGGGTCGGTCTATCCCCCTCAAAAAAAAAGGGTCGGTCTATTGTGTGCGCTTTGGCATTTTGATGCACCGTTGTAAATGTGGTGGGGTCTCGATCAAACAAAATGACACTTGTGGAACAACTGAACAAGTGATTTTTAAGGGGGATTTCCGGCATCATTTTTTTTTTGCATGGTAATACATTTCTCATTAATATTGAAAGGATTACACTACAAGTCACGTATATACCGAACTGGAAAACTGAAAAACAATAGAACGCTAGTTTTGCACAAAAAAACACTGACCAAGAAGTAAAATTACAAACAAGACCGAATAATCCTCTGTCACGAAGTTTAGAATGACACATTTAGCGCTTACATACTTCTTATTTCAAGAGCATATCAAGAACGTGCCATATTCTTATATAGACGGCATAAATAGGTTGCAAGAAACATTCATACAACTTGGTCCTACCGAGCTCTCACGCCACGGAAGCATAGCCAAAGAGAAAGAGTCGTTGTGTTCTAGTAGTACTATTTTCATGTCTTTGAGTTGAACTATACAATGTGTGTTATTTTATCCTAAACACTTAACGTGTGTAGCTCAAGAGAATGAAGTACCACGTGTGGGCATCATGTGTGTTCGATGTCCACCAAACACTAGCAGTTATCTAGGGATGTAATCAAGCATATGTTGCACCTATCCGCATAGGCTATGTGAAATTGACTCATGAAGCATCAAGCATGTCGACCCCGAGTTCTCCTGCGTCATGTGATAATCTAGTAGATCTCTATTGAACAAGTCACTCCTAGTTGACAATCGAAACTTCAAAATTTTGAATGAGAATACTTGATGGAATGCTGAATTAAGTTGAGAAATAAGTACATCTGCCAAAAGATAGGATTATACTCCTTTTATCTTGTTCGAGTTTTTCCAAAGTTTCTTCACACATGTTTTAACGAGGCCATCCATACAAAACATGCATAGTACAAATACATTTTCTCCCTTTTTCAACTAAACCCCTTTTTCAACTAAACCCACCAGGGTTGGTAGACTCCTACTCCAACACGCCTTGCAATCCTACATCTTGCATCTCCTATCTATACTTTTTGCCTGCATTCCACGGTGGTCTCAACACATACAACAATCTTCGAAGGTCTCCGTGCACTCGCCCTTTTGTGCTTACAGGTACATAAAAGCAGTTTCTCATTGCAATTGAACTACCGGATTACCATGAAACCACACCTCCATTCATCGCTGGAATGAAAATCATCATAAGGGTAAAAAGCACGGTCCATGTGCCTCGAACCCCAAAGGTGCCGAGCATATTTGATGTCCAGCAGATTTGCAACATCAAAGTCAATTATACCCGAGGTAGCATCAAGGGGACTGCGGAAATTGTATGCTCCAAAAGATGGGTGGATAAGCCTTAAATGAAGACTCTCACAAAGATCGCAGTGACCTGATAAAAGTATAAACATGTCCAATCTGAGACGAGCGTCATAACATAACAAGTGTTTCAGATAATCAGTATGTATGACCCGCATGGAGTACTGATAAACGTGATGTATTACACACAAACATGTAGCCAACTTAGGACACGGGCATTAACTAACTACTTAACCATGTAGTATTTCAATCTCGCAAAAAAAAACAAAAAAACATGTAGTATTTCACCGAGTTCAAGGCCAAGGGGCATACCCAATGTGATTAGCATATATAGCCCTGACTAGCAAGTAAAGAGAAAAAAAGAAATCATTGTCTTGTCAAGGAATAGCCATTTATTAGGCCAATCAGATACTAACTTAAATATGTGTTTGTGCTATTTTAAAGAATAGATCCAAACTTAAATATCATCATCAAAAGCACGAATGAGTATAGTTGTACTCATCGTTTGACTAATCCTCATACATTCCTGAGATGATTAACTATAGATACTATTATAGTACTCCCACCGATCCATAGTACAATTAACGATGATTTAGTACAAGGTTGTACAGCAGCATTACTCTACCAAAGAAGGCTAAGATTTTGCTCACTAACATAAATTAATTATCATAGTATTGATAAAAGAAGAGGAAGTGCTCACCGCTTAGAGAGACAGAGTCTTGGACAGGGCAGCAAAGCACGACCCCCATTTTTCTTGCATATTCCGCAAAGAAGAGTTGTATGGCTGCCGGATTATCTTTTGCAGAGGCCATGAAGTTGATATGTTGGTAACCATGACTGTCAGCACTGGCGTCACAAACAACATGGAGCTGCAGCTCTGGCCCCTTGGGAGGAAGAAATTTGTACATAGCAATGACGAATTGACGATTAGCACCAATGGCCAGGAAATAAAATAGGCGTATGAAGGTGTGATTGTTGGATAAAGAGACTGATCCCAATGGTGCGGTTCCAGTGCTGAATCGCCATGTTTGCCAGCTTCCGTCTCCATCGTTGCCCGGCTCTGATGTACTCCTCCCTCTCCGCCGGGAACTGCGGCTCTAGCACCTGGCAAGAGTCGAGTGGAGGAGCCGAGGATCGAACGAGTAGTACGGCCAGTCGCTCGACATCCTCGGCGGAGAGATGGGCGCTGCTGCCACCGGCGAGCAGTTCTGTGACGGCGGGGCTTGTGGCAACTCCGGACTGCGCGAACGCAGCGAAGGCCTCGCAGTTGGGGTGCCCGGCGGCAGCAGCGGCAGCGTAGTAGTAGTCGTAGTTCCGATCGACGTCGTGGTGCACGCGATTGAGGCCGAGGAAGGATCTCTGCTTGATGTCATCGATGTCGACGACATCGACAACGGCGTCGACGGCGGAGAAGCGGGCAGGGGGAGAGGCGGCGTAGAGCCAAACCGTGTTGACGATGACGTTGGACGCGCCGTCGGAGAGGGGCCCGAAGCAGTGGCCGCCGGCTAGGAGCGCGGGCAGGAGGGACGGCACCGTCGGCACGCCACGGGGGCCGTTGAAAGGGAGCCGCGCGAGGGCACGCAGGTAGGCGTCGTGGATGGAGTCCCTCAGAGCGGTCTTCCTCACCCACTCCTCGTGGGGGACGACGCTGGCGCCACCACGGCTGTGACGCGGGAGGTGCCGGAAGAAGAACTGCGCCGTCTTCGGGAGCGCCAGCGGCGGGGGCTTGGTGAAGGACGTCGCCGAGGTGGCCTTCGCTACCCTCGCCTCCATTGGGTTTGGCCTCTTCCGCGGGCGATCTCGGCGACGGGGGGGCATGTTCGGTCGCCGCTTCGCGCTCTCCTCTCCGATTGCGGGGGCGTCGGTCCGCTCGCCTCACGCGATTTTGCGGGCAACGGAGCTACTAACTTTTTCTTCGTTCTTTTGAGGGAAAACTGTAACAAGGAGATGGAACTCGAAGTCGAATCAGATTGGAATCAGTAGTTCAGTACCCCGCAAGAAATTCGAAAGCACCAACAGCGTGTTTTGTTGGGGTAATTAGAGTTACGGCTTGTTTGGTTGGGGGTAATTAGATCTCACTTCTGCTTCGCTCATCCCCTTAAACACATCAAAGGCTGAGATTCGTCCATACTTCTTCGTTGGCAGGGGCAGGATCGCCTTATGTAAAAATTAACCCCGCGCGTCCAGGCCGATACCCCGCGCGCCCGTGTATACGGCTGCGGGGCGAGCCGAGCCGCCCAGTAGCCGACAGGACGCGAGTCGATCTGCACCCCATGGGCCCACTATGTCAGGCACCATGCGACGTGCGTGCTGACGTGGCGCGGACGGGCGTACCCTCGTGCAATAACTGCCCGCGGTAAATGTGGTGTGACTGAAGGCGGCGATTGCTCGCGCCCGGTCGCGTGCCGCCCAGCGGCCACCGCCTCGGGACGCCCGCCTTCCACTGTCGCGCGTGCCTCGACCGCCCGTCTGCCACCCGCCCGCCTGCCGCCATCCGCCTTGGCTGCCGCGACAAGCCCGCCTTCAGACGCCACCGATGCCCCGCCTGCCGCCCGCCTTCCGCCCGGGTCCGCCGTTGACGCGACCGCTCGGCTGCCGCGCCTACCGCCTGCCCGCCTTCACACGGCACCGCCGCCGCGCCTGCCACCCGCCGTCCGCATCGGGCCGCCCGCCTTCCCCCTCGTGGCGCGTGCCACCGACGGTTCGCCCGTCCCTCTCCCTTCCCTGCCGTCTATAAAAAGGCCGCGCCAGCCCCTCTCCACGCCGTGACATCTCTTCCTCTCTTCTCAAAGCCAACCCCTCTCTTCCTCTCTTCTCCACGCCGGCGATGTTTTCCAGCGACTCCGACGAGGGCACGTGGTCGGGCGGCATCTGGCCGCTGAGCCTCACCATCGGCGACACCGAGGACTTGACCCGATACGGCATGTTGGTGCCGCCAGCTGCCAAGGTGTCGGGGCCATGGCGGATCGGCGCGGACGGCATCCCCACCATGGGACCGCCGTCGACGAGGGAGCAGTTCCGCGCCTTCCCTGGCGGTCGGTACAACAGGAGGGCCTGCCACAGGTTCTGGCGCAGGAAGAACTTCGACATCGTCCTCGGCGCGTTCAGGGCCGCGGCGGCCAGCCTACCCGTCGGGGACATTACCGGCGAGGCCGGCTCTTCCCGTCGCCGCCACGGCCCACCTCCAGCTGCCCCAACTGCCCCAGCACAGCAGGCGCCCCCTGCCCCGGTGCTGGTCGAGATCCCGCCGGCGTAGGCCGCCCTCGTGCAATACGGAGACCCCGATGACACGCCGGGGCTACTTGCGGTGCTGGCCCGGTCGGCAGAGGAGGCGACGGCGGCGACAACTCGCGAGGAACGAGAGCGGCTGGCGGCCATAGCGGCGGTGCAGGAGCAGCAGGCTCGGGAAGACAACTGGTGGGACTTCAGCAACGATGACGACGACGACGGCGGCGGCAACGACGACGAAGGAGAGGCCGGCGGTATGGCGCCGGTCGTCGACCTCACTGGCTCCAGCGACGACGAGTAGTCTAGTTTTAGGGTTTAGATTTAAATTTCGTTCCAAGTTATGTAAGAGCAGTG